TTATGACAATATATGGCGAATTTAGCGATTAGGGGTTATCGTCAGAGTCGTCGATTAAATTGTCTCGCCGTTTTGGGGATTAACTCTCAAACTGAGCCTGTGTTTACACTCAAGATAGAGACTTTGATCACTTTAAAACTCAAAAGTACGAGTAGATTAAACAGTCTGTCTGTCTTTGAGCCAAGACCCACCCATTCGCCACCCCTTTATCCATATCCCATTCCTTGCGAATAAAATTTTGAACAGGACTGTTGCAAAAGCGATACGATAAACCTAAAACGATATATTATAAATGGCTGAACAACTTAAGCCTGCCCGTATTCATACATCTCTTTTCTTAGTCTCCATAATAACTTTCCCTTTGCATAAAGACTTTTGTGATTCCCTTTCTTTTTTCTCCTTTTTATTCCAATCCTTTGCGATATCATTAGGCCACAAAGGATATTTCTATAGAGGCAAGCAAGTGAACGTCGGTCTCCTTTCAACTTTAAGGTTTTAATGAGCTTTAATGAAGACGTTGTACAAAGAAGGAGTCTTTTAACATAAAATGTTGCAGGTGGTCACTGTATGTAGGAAACTCCTCTTTTAATAGGGCACAACAATGATTAGAAGTTAGAGTCGTATTTCCAAGCCTTAAATATTTAATGACTTTGATTAAATCAGTCGACGTAGAGATCGTGGCTGTACGCACTGTCATTTTAGAATTGTATTTTAAATGTTTTGTTAGTAAAATACCATTAATCAACTCTTTTCGAGGCACTCCAAAACCAAACATTTTATCCAGCCTTTTTTATACACATATTTAAATTTTAAAAACATGTCTTTTTAGGTTTTTTCTCCCTCGTCTGATTGTAATTCATAACAACTTATTGTCTATACCAACAAATGTTATAGTGTAATTAGAGAACATAATTTGTTACTCCATGTACATCGATGTAGACAGACACAAACAAATAAGTCGCTAAAGCGGAATAAAACTGGCGCATAAAGAGTCAATGAAAAGAGTCTCACGTTATGTATCGTGAACAAAATAAGTATCTTTTAGCATCATTTTTGTGTAAAAAATTGAAAGTTCTTCTGACTTTATTGGTCCGTTTTAGAATCGTTTTTATTACGGAGTCCCATTCCAATGATGCATTGAGCCTTAGAAAGCCACAGAGATACTAGGCGCACTTTCATTGGTCGATAATCAGTGTGTTTTGACGAGAGTATGTCAACACCTACGAGGCTTCATGGATTGGTACTTTTTGCAAAATAGGTTAAACGAAATGCAGTGGAAGACCTTTTCTGTTTAATCATTTATCATGTTACGTTGGTTTGGAGAATTCCTCAAAGTTAAGCAAACCTTGGACTTCGTCTTGGGTATGCACAATCGTCACGTGTTCACCCAGTCCTCCGAATTATTTAGATGAGGCTATATGTAAATACAGAAAATTTCTCTATTGAAACTTATAATGCCTTACTAACAATTTCTCGCGTGTGTTAGGGAGCTATCGCCACCATCGATAACAGCTTCATGCTTGCCTTTTTAGCGGTGACTGATGTATCAACTGGTCTTTTTGGCCTCCCATCGTTTGTCCTGTGGAGGATTTTCTTATGTTTGGTCTCAGTTACAGTGATATGGTTGAAAATTTCCATCTCCACGTTATGACTTTATTTGTAAATGCTTCAAGTCTTCACCTAACGTTGGTAACTTTCGAGAGGCTCATGCTTAATATAGCAGTTTACACGTACGGACTTATGATTACGCAACAGACCAACCTTTCTCGGCTTTATAAACTTTATAGGTATGGTGCTTCGCTACGCACACGCTGCGAGCTGCGCTTTTACTCACATTAATCCTACTTGTTTGTCATATAATAGGGATGGGAAGTAATTATTCTTTCACAACACCTCATCGGAGGGATTTTAATTTAGAGAAAACAACTGTTTGACGGTTGTAAGTGACAGATCACTTTGTCTGCATTCATGGCCTCCTTTGTTTCTGTTTTAGCATCGCTGAAGTTTTAAAATATCAAAGTTTTAACTTGGTGGAATATAAGTTTCTCCGTCTCTTCTGAATATCTTTCCTATACTCAAAAAAACGATATATAGTTCCTAGCAACTCTTTACTCAATAAAGAAGCTTGATGAATATGAAAGCGACTGATCTTTGCAGTAATAAAAACTACTGTGAAGTGGTAGTGAAAATGAGGGCTGTAAAAAAAGACCTGTACGGGATTCGAACTCAGGGCCCCTTGCGATATAATTGAAGTGCTTTACCAAATGAGCTAACAAGCCAAATGGGATATATGAAATCAGATTTTTGTATGCTTCATGACAATCCTTTTTTTATCAAGAAAATCAATTTAATGAACAGGCCTCCTTCCATTTATTTGTTTTTAACTTGTTTTTATATTATATCTTTGTAGTACAGTACTTCATCTGGACAAATGCCTTCTATATGATATTTCTTTGGTGTTGAATCCGATTTGAAACAATCTATCGAACTGTAAATGAGGGTTGGGAAAATGCCCATATACCCTTTCTCCCCTCCCCAGACAATAAAACTAGAGACAAGCAGTTAGATTACTGTTCATTTGACTGGTTTCAAATCGTTTTATTTCCCAATATTCCACAATATTTTTATGATCAGTCCTACTTCTACTCGAGTCGCAATACAATGGTCCCTTTTCACTGTTTATCCACAATCCAAGCAAGTGGGCGTTCCATCTCAGTACATCCACTCGTTAACCTCCAGATTCGGGTCGTCTTTCTGTCAAAGAGATAAAAATAGTTATAGTTTGTCAGTGAAAAATCAACTGATCTCCAGCAATAAACCTTATGATGGATCAAGTTTTTTCCCGCTCTGCAATTAAATTTTTGATCACGTTGAATCACACACTCACGGATGCTGCAGGCGATCACTGTATGTAAGGAACTCCTCTATTGGTAGGGCACAACAATGATTAAAAGTTAGACTCGTATTTGCAAACCTTAAATGTTTAATGACTTTAATGAAATCAGTTGACTTAGAGATCGTGGCTGTACGCAGTGTTATTTTAGAGTAATATTTTAAATGTTTTATCAGAAAATGCCGTTAATCAATTCTTTTCAAGGCACTTCAAAACTACACATTTTATCCAGCCTTTTTTATACACATATTTAAATTTAAAAAACATGTCTTTTTACGTTTTTCTCTCCCGTGACTAATTGTTATTCATAACAGCTTATAGTCTATACCAAATTTTAAAGTGTAATTAGAGAGTGTTACTCTGTCTGTCCATGTATATCGATGGAGACAGACACAAACTAATAAGTCTCTAAAGCGGAATAAAACTGACGCAGAAAGAGTCAATTAAAAGAGTCTTATGAAGTCCCATCTCAATAATGCATTAAGCCTTATAAAGCCACTGATATACTAGGCACACTTTCATTGGTCGATAATCAGTGTGTTTTGACGACAGTATGTCAACACCTACTACATACATTTTGCTGAATATGTTAAACGGAATGCAGTGGAAGACCTTTTCTGTTTAATTATGGAGCCTCAAAAACATTAGGTTAATTTGGAGAACTCCTCAAACTGTTATGCAAACCTTTGACTTCGTCTTGAGTATACACAATTGTCACGAGTTCACCCAGTCCTCCGGATTATTTAGATGAGGCTATTTGTAAATACGGAAAATTTCTGTATTGATTAGCTTGTTTTCAGTTGTCGTTTAGGTGGAACTAAATTAGAAAGTACTCAATGACACGCGACAAGGCGATAATAAAAAGTAAAGCAGTGATAACTTATAATGCCTTGCTAACAATTTCTCTCGTGTGTTAGGGAGCAATCGCCACCATTTTAGTGGCAGTAGCCCGGATGAACATCGCAAAGCAAGCGCAGTTAATCGAAGTTCACGCTTCCGGGATATCCATGACTGAGTATCTAACCGTACAAGGATTGAGTCATTGTGATCGTTCGCAAAACTCAATAAGAATAAGCAAGTAGGAACTGGAGATATTTCTTTGCCGTTTGGTGCGATAAATTAACTCAAATTTATCGAACGGGTGTAATTTGTTATCTTTTTAGCATAATAAATTTAGGTATTTCTTTGCCTGTTTATTTACTTTAAAATTTTGTTTTTTTTGTTGGAAAAATAGTTTACTGTTTAGTAATAGTTTTTATGTTTACTCATTTCATATTAGTATTTCAGTTTTTATGAGCTTTCAAGCAGATTACTGAAATAATTTTCATGATTGATAGACGCTTGGAGGTTCCGTGGACAATTAAAACCATTTCTCCGATGCGTTGTTGTCGGATCGATTAGCGTCAGCGTCAGCGTCCGCCCGTAATAGTATCACTTCTCCCTTCACAGTTCTGCTTAACGCGCTGATGAAAGGAACACTTCGATTCCGAACCTACAACAACATCTTCCTTGCCTGTTTAGCGGTCTTTTTGGCCAGCCATCGTATGTCCTGTGGAGGATTTTCTTTATGTTTGGTCTCAGTTACAGTGATATGGTTGAAAATTTCCATCTCCATGTTATAACTTTACTTGTAAATGCTTCATGTCTTCATCTAACGTTGGTTACTTTCGACAGGCTCATGCTTAATATAGCAGTTTACACGTACGGACTTATGATTACGTGACAGACCAACCTTTCTCGGCTTTATAAATTTTATAGGTATGGTGCTTCGCTACGCGCACGCTGCGAGCTGCGCTTTTACTCACATTAATCCTGCTTGTGTGTCATATAATAGGGATGGGAAGTGAATATTTTTTCACAACACCTAATCGGAGGGATTTTAATTTAGAGAAAACAACTGTTTGACGGTTGTAAGTGACAGATCACTTTGTCTGCATTCATGGCCTCCTTTGTTTCTGTTTTAGCATCGCTGAAGTTTTAAAATATCAAAGTTTTAACTTGGTGGAATATAAGTTTTTCCGTCCCTTCTGTTAAGATATACGTGTGTTTTGAATATCTTTCCTAAACTTAAAAAAGAATGTATAGTTCCTAGCAACTCTTTACTCAATAGAGAAGGTTGGTGAATATGAAAGCGATCTTTGCAGTAACAAACACAACTATTAAGCGGTAGTGAAAAATATGGCCTGTAAAAGAATTAAGACCCGTACGAGATTTGAACCCAGGGCCCCCTGCGATGTAGTTGTAGTGCTCTACCAAATGAGCTAACAAGCCAACTGAGAGCTGGTTATTATGTTGGTTCGTAATACACCTGTGAGGTGATGAATCAATTACTGTAAATATATGAAAATCATATATAACATCAGATTGATGTATGCTTCATGACAATCCTCTTTTTTTCATCAAGAAAATCAATTTAATGAACTGGTCTTCTTCCATTCATTTGCTTTTAATTTGTTTTTAAGCTTTGAGGGTAGATCATTCCCAAGTTATATCTCTGTAGTACATTACTTGATCTGGACAAATGCCTTCAACATGATATTTCTTTGGTGTTAAAACCAATTCGAAACAATCAATCAAACTATAAATGAAGGTTGTGAAACTGCCCGTATACCATTCCCCCGCCTAGAGATAAGCAATTAGGATACTGTTCGCTTGACTGGTTTCAAATCATTTTATTTCGGAATATTCTACAATACTTTTACGATCAGTACTACTTCTGGACTCGCGTCACAATACAATGGTCCCTTTTCACTGTTTATCCACAAGCCAAGCCAATGCGCGTTTCATCTCAGTACATCCACTCGTTAGCCTCCAGATTCGGGTCGTCTTTCTGTCAAAGAGATAAAAATAGTTATAGTTCGTGAGTGAAAAATCAACTGATCACCAGAAATAAACCTTATGATGGATCAAGTTGTTTCCCCGCTCTGCAATTAAATTTTTGATCACGTTGAATCACACACTCACGGTTTGGAGATCCCAAGACGAATAAAACTGACTTTTGAAATGTTTTCCTTAGCACAATACAATTCAAATTATAAATTTTACTTGATTTAACTAGCAGAGTGCTTCCCATTTACTGCTTAGTAAGCTCGCTCATGGTTTTCAAATGTCGTCATAATTAAAACATCAACTGACCTCTTTTTGACGAACTTCTCTTTCGACGGGAATGGACCATTCATAGTTCAGTGGTTTAGTAATTTCCTGTCCTGGATCTTGATGCTGCAAGAGAAAAAATGACAACTTGACTTTCACAAACTTTTACAACAGTCAACCTCTCTGACCTCAGTAACAGCCAAATACCTGGACGACTCTTTCAAGGGGAAAACGCCGTTTGGCCATTAGTTTCGGCCGACTGAAGGCCTCTGCTTGATGATTCAGAAGCAGCAGATAAAAAAAGGAGAAGAAGAGTATAATCCACATTGTGTTCATGTCTGCTTCTCTTCAGTTCACCCAGTCGTGATGAAAAGTTTTTATAGGCCACTCTGACAGGTGACTCCGAGTCTAACTATATCCGCCGGCATTCCAAAATCGTTGCATCGATATGAAATTTACATAAAAGTCGATCACACTGATTGACTGAAATAGCTCCCCCGAGGAAGCCTCTGCACGTCAAATTAAGGGTGTGAACCGAAACCATTAGACTGTTAATTAACATCATTTTGCTCAATTCTATAAGTGGGGCGCATCATCACCCATTAAACAGTGTTTCCTCATAATTTATCAATGCCTGTCTGTTTTCATCTGAAGGCTTATTTCTCCCCTAAGTTTCTGTTTCACCAGTATGCTTTCATGGACATATCTGCTCTAACAAGATCCAGTAATGCAACACAAAGTTTCTTTCTAAGTCGGAGATATGTCCCGGAAATGCAAGCATGGTGATATAAACATACCGAAAGGCCGCATGCGACGAACGAAAATGAGTAAAACATAATATACAACTCCCGTACGGCCGGTATATATAATAAGTTAATACTGAAAGTAGCGAACTCCTTTAGCTCCACTATGTTAATGATTTGTAAGGGTAAATTAAAAAAGTCTCTCAATCCGGTGTTTGTAACAAAACATCCTAATACTTTTGTTCTCATTATGGAGTAAAAGAGAGACGCGATCTTTTTGCAATGTATATATTTGTTTTTATCTTATTGTTGCTTACAATTTCTAAGTTTAATTTACAAACCAAACTTAATTTAATTTAATTTTCTGAGCTTCCAATTGATGACGATGTCCTTCAAAAGCTGTAAGGAGTAGATGTAAATATATATTATCCACGTCTTATTATGAGGATTCAGTCAACTGCGTGGGATTACTAACATTACAGCTGTTTCTTATCGTGGGAACTGATTAACGGACAGTTTGTGAGTCAGTTGAATTGAAATGACGGTTGGCTGTCGCCACAACGGAAACACAAAAATCAAAATGCAATTCTTTGGCTCTCCACTAACTG